AAATGGACATGGATCCTAACCATTCTTTGGTGGGCTTAAATGTATCTCAGACTGGATATGGACCTCTGGATCCAAGTCCCAAATAACTAAGGTTATGAAACCCAAGCCCAGATGTGGGTTTAGAAGCCGCGTTGTCTTGCGAGAGCGAGCGCCTCCTTTGGTTTGACCCCTTCTTTCTCCTCCTCTTTGAGAATTGCAGCAACATCGGCGTTGCGCAGACCAAGGCATGGAGGAACTACAGTAAGAGTGCGTCGCGCATATCGTTGCCGCTTCCCGTTGATTTGGCCAAGCTTTTCCATTATAAGAATCGCTTGGCGTATGCTCTCTCTCTCTCTCTCTCTCTCTCTCTCTCTTTGTGTTTGTTTCCTGAGAAAAAATTGCAATGAAAAGACAATCTAAAGGAAACATTGAGTTCAGATATATTTTTGTTTTCATTTCTTGTGATTTCTCAGTAGTTCAGTATCATATCTCAACGCAAATAATATATTTCTTCTGTTTTGTTTTTGTAAATGAAATATTTTGCATATCATTGTTTGTGTCGATTTTGTGAAAATTATGATTGTTCTTGGATATGCGAATTGGGTATATTTGTATGCATTATTATAATTTTAGACATTTATTTGTAATTCTTTTATTCTACAAATTTTGTGTCAGTCTAGAGAATCTCAACTTGTTGTTACTGCACCAAACAACTGCGTGGATGTTGAAGGTGAGGACCCTCAGTATGCGAGAGCATTCGGTAAGTAAATAGGCATGCATACAGAAGACAAATGTACGTGGTTCACCCGAATAATGGGCTACGTCCATGGAGAAGTATGTTCTCATTACGATAATGTGAGTATACATTGCACATAGGTTTAGACTCAAGGAGAAGAGGAAGAATACCGAAGGCCGAAGGTTGAAGGCCGAAGGCCGAAGGCTGGGGGCCGAAGGCTGAAGGTTGAAGGCTGAGGATATGATATGATCCGTGGGCTTTTAAGTGGGCTCTTGGGTAAGCCCATGAGGCCCCAGTGAACCATATGGAGCCCTAGTAGCCTGCCCAAATCTCTCTCTTTTCTTGAAGGAGAGGGGTCTTCTTTTATAAGTGAGGAAGAGTCCCCTCGTCTTGTGTTTTGTCGATGTAGGACTCCCTTCCCTTTGCTTGGATTGGCTTGGGAATGCTTGGCCATATATTGTACAAAAAAACTGCTTAAAATCCAGTTATATCCCAACCAGTCCAGTCTAATATAGAAAGATTAATCCAATCCAATCCAGTCTAGCCTACCAAACGGGGCCTAATGGTAAGACGTTTTAGCCTTCTAACTTAATACACAATGTTCATCTTACACACAACATACCATCAACAGAAGCAAAAATATCAATACATAGAATAGAAGGGTTTGAACAATGGAAAATTGGCAAAGAAACACACAATGGAAATGGACAGTGAAGGCCACGTTTGGAAGGTGAAATTAAACACGACGAATTTGGGTTAAAATGGCGCCACGTCCTATGTTTAGGGAACTTAACAATGACGAGATCGGGCTATTCAATTGGACAACTGCTCCACATACGAGTTCGAAACGAAGCTTAAGTGGGTCTCTGTGGGCCCAATAATATCTGGTACTGTGTTCGAAACAAAGGCCTCAGACCAGCTAGTAGAACCCATAGCCAAATGCGGGCCTCATGTTCATCCGGCCCAATATCACCAGTTGTGACCAACGCACAGACCGAAAACCTACTAGAACGACGTCGTCTGCTCAAATCTACCCTTTATAAACACAGCCAGAAAAAACCATAGCCAAACCCTAGGAGAGCGAAAATGAAGTACAATCCCCGCGTCACCAGCTCTAGGCGGAAGAACCGCAAGGCTCACTTCACCGCGCCGTCGAGCGTGCGGCGGGTGTTGATGAGCGCGCCCCTCTCCTCAGACCTCCGCGCCAAGCACAACGCCCGTTCCATGCCGGTGCGCAAGGACGACGAGGTCCAGGTGGTGCGCGGGACCTACAAGGGCCGCGAAGGCAAGGTTGTCCAGGTGTATCGCCGCAAGTGGGTCATCCACATCGAGCGGATCACCCGAGAGAAGGTCAACGGTTCCACGGTCAACGTCGGCATCAACCCATCCAAGGTGGTCATCACCAAGCTCAGGATCGACAAGGACCGCAAGTCTCTGCTCGACCGCAAGGCCAAGGGTCGCGCCGCTGCGGACAAGGACAAGGGCACCAAGTTCACAGCTGAGGATATCATGCAGAACGTTGATTGATTTCATTTTGGTTTGTGTTTTTGTTAGTAAGATTAGCGACAGTCAAATGAGCTTTTATTGTAAGCACCTGAATTTTCATTATGCATTGATGGATTTGGCGTTTAATGATCTCTTTGAGGATCTTTTGAGACATGGATTTTGCCCTCTTTTTCTATGCTATGGTATTCCTGGAAATAGTTTTTGGATTTATTTATTTATTTATGCCTATATTATATGCTCTGATTTTGATTGATTGCTGGTTTGTGATTTCTCTGCTGATAGTTTTTTATTTGCATCATACATATTTTATTCCAAATCAAGGGTGGTATATTTATTGTGTTCAATAGCAGTGTTATATGCTTGGTCTTGTATATGAGAAGAGGGAAGGGGTGAATCTAAAATGTAATATAGGCCTTGTTATTGCATATGGACTAGGGTTTTTGCTGCATTGATGATTTTGCCTTCCGATTGAGATTTTGGTTACTCTAGGACTTGATTTGACATTGGTTTAGCTACTGTAGAATACAGATAGATATCTTGACTCCGAATTGTGTGTGTGCAATCACATCACGGATTCACTGCACATAATGTAATGACAGCTCAATATCATACTAAAATGAAGGTAAACGAATGAACGTGAGTGAATTCGCTTACTTCCATTTTAGTATGAGATTGAGCTGTCATTACATTATAGGCAGTGAATCCGTGATGTGATGTATGTGGGTTTGATTGTTCTTATAGATACTGTAGAATAATAATGTGTAAGGTGTTTCAGTTTTTGGAGCCATCAAAGGTTATTTTTCATGTTCTGTTCTCTGCGTTACAGTTGGTTCTAAGTTTGTCCAACAAGCTCGCCCCTTCCGTCTTAGTAAAGATTATACATTACTCACTTGAAGTGGTTGATTATTTTCTCGTTTCTTCTATCATAGTAAAATTATACATGTCTTGTGGCATGTTCCTATTACTGTCAAATGATGAGTGCTTTATGCTCTTGAAAATTTAAACAAAATTTGTCTTTGAGGTGAGCATTTCTTTATAGTCTCGTGGATTCGTTGTAGCTTCAAAATGATCTTGAATTAGCAAATCTTGGTACTGTATAATCAGTCTGCATAAGTAATTGTGTTTGCTTTACTCAATCTATAAGTAGTTTCGCCTAGTGGTATTAGGATTGGAGAATAACGCTGATTTATGTGCCATTGATGCGTCGTTGTATGTTTTGCCTTCTGAAACTCGTTGTTTAGTTTTCACCTCTGTTACTGCGCTTGTATCATATAATATTCAGTTCCCTGTTGGATCATTTCCTTGCTGTTTATTGAGATCCTAACTTGGTATGATTTGTTTTCTTTTCATCCCAAGCTTTTTGGGATTTTTGTTGCCTTCTCAGGCAAAATTCAACTTTTTGTAGGATTATATTATTCTAGTCAAGTAACAGATCCTACTACTCATTTCTTTCTAGCTCTCTCGTTCAACCCTCTACTTAAATTTGTCTAGTTCACCCATCTCATACTCCGTAGATATGTCCCACTCTGCAAATCCCTTGCTCTCAGTCAGCTAGGCACAGCTTACGGCTGACAGCTGATCCGACTGTGTAGATGGCTCTCGGCTGCCAAGGATAAAATATCTGTATTATGAAATTTAGAATGCATTGTGCACGGCAGTTTGCAACGCAACTCTCCCTAGCTGTTCTGAACAAATTGCTTTGAGTCTTCACCTAACACTTGAAACGATGACAACAAAGAGTTTTAACTTGTATCAGTATCCTAGTTTATTTATTCATTCATTATTATTGTATTTATTCAACAATGGCCACTCCAAACCTGGGATTTTTGTCCAGGGCCTTGGTGTCGATCTCCCCAGATATTGTCAGCAACGACTTTGGTATGACCTCATGCTGCAGGAGGGCCCCCAGCTTTCCATGATTGTTGAGCTTAGCTTTCACTACAGTCAGAAGATCAATAGCATATGACCCTCCAAATTTCCAAAATAGTTGAGATCAGTAAAACTTTTATTTATTTTGCGAAAGGATGGCTGGTGTAAGTTACAACCCAGCGAAGTAAGGACTTGAGGGTGAGCCTAACCAAATTCTAGGTCGGGCTTAGGTTTAGTCGAATTTGACCTTGGCAAGCTCATTGTTAAAGGGATAAAAAGGGCAAGAATAAAAGAGTAATTATACTGCATTCCCAAACGTAATTTTATCTGGTATGCATGTATTGTTACATCAACTCAAATATGCCTAGCGCCAAATTTACTGTCATTACATGATGAACTTGGCCCAAAAGCCGTTTAAAATCGAGCTAAAGATTCAGCGCATGAAATATGCTAATGCCACATAATTGAGATAAAGGCCTTATGAGAAACTAGAAAGAAACAACCCCAACTGGGGCAACGTATAGTTTGTTGGCATGATCAATTTTGCATTTATAAAAACCATTGGAGTTACTCTCGGCAGGTGGATTCTTTCAAACAGACAAGTGGCATATCACCTGGCACAACATATGTAAAAAAATTCTCTATCAATCAGAATTCTAAGGTTTCTCCATACAAGGAGACTAGAATATGCAACGCCTTAGGGACCTACAGTTATAAGCCAAAAGAATATAGAGAAAAAGAACAAAAGAAGACCACGATTGAGCCCGAGCATCAAACAATCCATCCACATTGATCAAGGACCAGGAAACATGTTTCTGTGGAAACTAATTATTAAGTGCTCCTCTCGAGAGCCAGCCAAAAAATTGAACCAGGTATTACGTTCCAGCAAGGCATCATTAACGCCTAAAAATCACGGCTTGAGGGCAATGGCCACTCCAAACCTGGGATTTTTGTCCAGGGCCTTGGTGTCGATCTCCCCAGATATTGTCAGCAACGACTTTGGTATGACCTCATGCTGCAGGAGGGCCCCCAGCTTTCCATGATTGTTGAGCTTAGCTTTCACTACAGTCAGAAGATCAATAGCATATGACCCTCCCACTGTGAAAGTGTTCTCGTTTGTGGAAAACTTTCTAGTGATCTCTCCCACAGCAGCAGTCCTCTTCAACACATCCAGAAAATGCACATAAGATGCTCTTATACTGTCTCCCTTGTCACCCCTGAGAGAGAGAGGATATCAGAATATTAAGACTAGAAAAGTTCCAACCATTCTAAATACTTACAACAAAAGAGAAAGAAACAAAAGTTGCTTACGATA